AGCTCGGGCTCGTATCTTCAACAGCCCTAGTAGCTCAGACTCTGAAGATTGTTCAACACGAGCTCCTCCTCCGCCTTATCTTGACACGAGACACAATATTAATACACGTCCGAGTAGAAATGAGACCGAAGTGGTAATTAATAATAATAGTAATCCTGTTGATGTAGAGAGGAATGGTGTTATCAGAGAGTCAGGACGGACTTCCCGGGTTGCCATTATTAGAGATAGAGAAAAGGATCGGTATGATCCTGATTATGACCGTAACAGGTAAACAAACCCCTCCCATTTCCTCTAATGACAAATAACCTTTACGCTATGGTTTCTTCATCACAATTAACGGGTTTCGCGGTGTTGTGTAAATGTTACAGGTACGTGAGGGTTACACCACCAGGACAAAACTTCAATCCGATACCAATTCAGCTTCCATTTAATGACGCGGTTTTCCCACAGATGCCAAGATCTCAAGCCAGCCTAAACTACGGAAATCCGTTAAACCCTGCTATGAACGCTTTCTGTACACCTTCTAGTAACGCTCCTCCTTATACAGAGTGGCCTAGTGCCACAATGACTTATGCACAGACATTGAATGCTTCAGACTCACATCTTTTAAGGTAAAAACTTCACTCTTAAAAACTTTCTTCATGCTCTCTGTTGAACCATAGTATCTGACCATTGTGGTCTCTGCTTTTTTTTTGTTGTTGTTGCAGGCACCCTAATCCCTGACCTTGGGTCGTGTTCAGTTCATGTCTGTATGCAAACAAGTTTTATAGATGTAGTCTTTAGATTTTTTCTTCTGCTGTTGCTGGAAACATTTGCCACTTTAATTACAAAGACAATCTCTACTCTTTTGTTACAATAATATTATCAAGCTTTTGCATCAAAACCCAAAAGACACCATAAAACTTGTGGCCCATTTAATAATTACCTTCAAGAATTTTACAATAGTTGGTCTTGTAACCAAATGTTTACAAAACTTCGATTCAAAAATCTTGAACTCATGTTCAGGTTCAGTTTGTCAAATCTGAAAACAGTAGCAACATTTAAAGTCTTCCTTTTACCAAAAATGCTATATAAATTTTATTCTTCAATTTCTAGAATTATAATTTGAAATGTGCATTTGTTATTATGGCATTCATAATTGAATACCAAAAATAAACTAATAATTCCAAAGACTTTTGATAGAAGCAGTGCAGATCAGAACATGCCAGCTATTGAACCCACCATCATTGCTTTTAAATTGATCCTTCCCTACCCAATAAATAACCTATAGTTTTCTATTAAATTATGCTTATTATGATAGATAATATAGAAAAATCTTGATTGGGTTTGGTCCCATAACTGAATAGTCTGATACTATG